TAATAATGGGTTTAATCATGGCATTTTATATATGTATGTAATATATTTTGATCATATTTCCCCCCATAACCCTCATTTATTCCTTGCCTGCTTCCACTGATTCTTTCTCTTTCCACTTAGTCCTTCTATTTTCATCTCATATGTTTGTCTGTCTTTCCTTCCTTCCTTCTTTTTGTCCTCATAAAAATACTCAACTAAAGCCATAATACATATGCAGAGGACCTGTGCTTGCTACTTCAGTCTCTGTGAGTTCATATCAACTTTGAACAGTTGATTTAGAGGGTCTTGTGCTCCTGGTATCCTCCATTCCCTCTGGCTCCCACACTCCTGCCTCCTATTCTTCAAGGTTCCCTAATCTCTGAGATGAGGAATCTAATGGAGACATCCCATTTAGATCTGTGAGTTCCAAGGACTCCCTGCACATTGCCTGGATGTGCATCTCTGTATTTGGTCCCATCTGCTGCAGGAAGATCATTGCTCAATAAGGCACTGATCTATAAGTATGGCAGACTATCTTAGTAGTCATTTATCTTACTTTTTTATTTTTTGACCAGTAGTATTTGATTTTACCCTAGGTCTCTGGGCTATTTAGCCTCTGGTTCTTGGTCACCCCAGCAGTGTCAGGTATAGATTTCATCTCTTAGAGTAGGCCATAAGTCAAATCAGATATTGATTCATTACTCCCACAAGCTTAGTGCCACCATTGCCCTGGCATATTTTACAGGAAGGACACCATTGTAGATCAGTTTTGTGGCTGGTTTGGTGTTTACGTTTCTATTTTGGTAGCCTGCAGAGAGCCTTCCCAAACTAAAGACACTAGAACATGAAGGTGAAGGCTCTCTGAAGACATCAGCTCTACCTCTCCATGTTCAATGAGCTGTGTGGGTGTTGTCTTTAGCAATGGCAAATCTGCTGTCAGTTTGTGGAGAACAGCCTATTGTCTTGGCAACAGCCTGGGTTGTTTGGGGGACTTCCATGGGACCTCTTTGGCCAACTCAATTGAATGATACCTAGTCCCAGTAGTGGAAACTGTGTTTGGTGACAAGAGATGACCAACTGGGACTCCTCTCTAATTATTTGGAGATTTCATTAGGATTTCCTTCATATATTTTTACCCTCCTCCTTTATTTATATGACCCAAATGAACTTCATTAGGATTGCTCACAGGGTTCTGGAAGACAAATTATTTCTAGAAGCTCAACCTCCTTACTTGTGTCTACACCACTGGAAAAGAAAATACCTCCCCCTCCCCCAGCAACCATTAATTCCTTTAGTTATTCAAGAAGGGGGTAGCCTCCTATACCTTTCTTTCTCTCTCCCATGGCAAGATGTTGGCAGGCCCAATCTTGAGCAGGTCTTTTGCCAGCAATCATAATTGCTATGTGATCAAGAGTGTAAAAGCAATGTCATGTTCCAAGGGCAACATTATAATTCACTCAGCTCACTCCTGCTCTTTCTGCCCAATCTTCAGCAATGTTCACTAAGCCTTGGAGGAATGACATGGAAGTCTCATTAATGTCTGACTAATCACTAGACCCTTTCACCAAATATTAATCTCTATAGTTACCAGTGCTCTAGGAAAAAAGCAAGTTTCTCTAACCAAAGCTGATTGTAACACCAATCTAATACTATAAACATAACTGTGTAGAGGACAATTTGATGGACACATCATATCTATTTAGCAAGACAATAGCAACTGCTTTCCAACTAGGGTCTATGGCCTTCTCAGCCACAGGATTCTGATCAATATGGAAAAGGAACTCCCTGCTACAGAGTAGTTCTAAAATCTGGTCAGAGAACAGTGGGCACTTCTTAATAACAGATTATTGCTGTGGGATAATGCTTTTGCACACTGGTTTAATAAAATGCTGATTGGCCAGTAGCCAGGCAGGAAGTATAGGCGGGATAAGCAGACAAGGAGACTTCTGGGAAGAGGAAGGCTGAGTTGCCAGCCAGCCGTCCAGGGAGCAGCATGTAATGGCACACAGGTAAAGCCATGGAAAACGTGGTAACATATAGATTAACAGAAATGAGCTGAGTTTAAGTATAAGAGCTAGTAGTAAGCCTGAGCTAATGGCTGAGCAGTTTTAAATAAAAATTGCTGTGAACATATTCTCTTCTGGGGAAGAATATACATGGTTCTAAGAGACAGACATTTATCAAACTGTGATTACTCCAAACCACAGAGGAGGCACAAAAAAAAAAAAAAAAAAAAAAAGGGAACCATGACCACGCCTAACAATGACTTTGAAATCTTCAAAAGGATGATGGGACCC